AGGCTTTGCCTAACGGGCCGCTCCGTCTATTGGTGGGGAGCAGCACCTGCTGGAAACCGGGTCCAGCGTCCCTTAAATGCATTTTTGCAGAACAGTACATCAATGAGGGTGACGCCAATGTGCTGGAAACCGGGTCCAGCGTCCCATCTCCGTTCTATCCTGCAGAAGGATCAGGTGTTGGGGGGGACCACCGGGGGGCACCAGTGGGATCTCCCTCCATCCCTGAGCCTCTGCCATCTTCCTGGCGCCTATTGTGACTTGCACTCTGCCAAATATGTGTTTGAAAAGGCTGCTGTTTTTTATTTTTGGCCGCTCCATCTTTGGTGGGGAGCAGCACCTGCTGGAAACCGGGTCCAGCGTCCCTTAAGTGCATCATTGCCACACAACCCTTAGTGCCATGACGCCAATGTGCTGGAAACCGGGTCCAGCGTCCCATATTCAATCTGCTCTTCCCTACCTACCTGCTCCACAGTCGGGTATTGGGGGGGGGGGGCACCGGGGGGCTCCAGTGGAGTCTCCCTCCCTCCCCCCCCTAGCCTCAGCCACTCTTGGCGCCTATTGTGTCTGCTACACCTATACTGGCAGGTGTTTGCAAGAATTTGGAAACAACTGAAACAGACTTGGAACAACTGGAACAACTGTAAAAGACAAAGCGCAATGAAGGAGCGAAGAGCAACAGCTAAACAGGCTGGAAAGCCAGAGCAACTAAAAAACAAACACAGCGCAATGAAGGAGCGAAAGGCAACGGCTGAACAGGCTGGAACACCAGACTGAACTAAGCTGAACTAAGCTGAACCAGGCTGCTCTAAGCTGCGCTAGGCTGTGCTGAGGTCTGCTGCAGTGCCAGCTGGAAGTGCTGGAAGGGCAACAAGGGCAACAAAGAGCAACAGAAGAACAGGCTGAGGAGCCAGGCTGGACTAGGCTGTTCAGAGCTGCGCTGACCTCCCTCCCTCCCCAAGCCTTAGCCAACCAAAAGATAGGGCACTCGAAGAGCGACAGAAAACGGGCTGAGCACCAGGCTGAACTAGAACTAGGTTGCTCTGAGCTGCGCTGAACTCTGCCGCACAGCTGGAGTATTCTGAGACTTTCTGGCCGCTTTTCAGACCGAGCTTATGTAGGCGGCAGGATTTCTGCTAGGGACAGCGGGTGGGGTGGGAATGGATCTGCGAAGTCCTGGCCACCACCAAAACGTGAGAGGGAGGTGTGTGGAAATCATCACCAAAAAACTTCGGTAAGATTTTCACACACATTCGCTACGGTCCCAAAGGACTGCCCCAAAAAATAAAGAAAACGAACCGAACATCGTATATATATCCCCGCACCTAAATACAAAAAAACACAAACTGCCAATTGCCATTTTGATCTATGGACGTCGGGAGTCACACAGCCTCGCCACCTATCCACATATCTCCGTAGTGGGATGTCCCTCCAGGGGTGAGGTCCCACTAGCAAAGAGGATTGGATTGAACTCCTTAATTTGGCCGCGTTTGTGTACAAGTGCAGAGAATCGAGATTGAACTCCTTTTCTGCATCTCTGCCCAAAACACGCCCAGATTCAGGATCTTGATCCAATCCCCGTTGCTAGTGGGATGGATGGTCACCATGCTCCAGGTTCAAACTTCTGTCTGTGGACTCTGTACTATTTTACCATACCAGCTCAAGTTTCATATCATGACTAAATCCTAATTTCAAGATAAGTATGGAGCTCTGTGGATTAGTACTACTAGCTTTAAACAAACAAAAAAAACTTCATGGGTGTACAAACTGAGGGCATACTCACACCAAAATGCATCTGGCGGTAATTACAGCCAGACCTGGGTGCATCGCGTCCATAAAATAAGTAATAAATTCCTCGTGTGAGTATGCCCTGAGCTTGGCCGCTGGTGATACAGAGAAGATCAACGTGGCCGCTGTATGGCATTTTGCTCTTCTTTCAAAACGTCTACGCAAGGCCACAGATACGTTTGCCGGAAGTTGTGGCCGGGCCCCACCGGCACCATGTGCAATAGCTACAAATGATAAAGGTATGTATTCCATTCTCCATTCGGCAGACATGCTTTATTTATGCATCTTTCTACTCTACGCTTCGTCTTCATGCTCCGCGAGTGCCCTACCTGTACGCTTTCTTTTCATTAAATTCATAATAATCCAGACCGTTCAGACTTTACCACTTTCTTCCTTCTGGCACATATATATACAATAAACAATTTGAGTCTATTTACAATACTTGTTCTAAACATATTGTGTATGGTATAAACATCCAGATCATATTATAGATATCCAATATATGATAATTATCATTATAATAATAATTATCATATTGTATATCTTTCACTTGTATGGATTTTCTATTGCTGTTAAAAAACACGTTCTGGTCATGAGAACTACCGGGTTCTCATGACCAGAACCTGTTTTTTCTCAGCAATATATATACAGTCTGTAGAGTTTTCCATCTGGTGTGGGTGAGTGATAGTCTACTTTGATTTTGGTTAAGGTAGATTATCATTTACAGTGTAATCAGTGAGGGGATTCTGCAGACTGTTGAGGGTTCAGC